GCAATGAAACATCCCGGCTTCCACAGGGCCTCGCGGAGAAAAACCGGATCACGACCTGCCCTTCGGCAAGATTTTGGAAGGCGAGCCGTCCTCGGGAGATGCCAACGGCTCACCTGGTAGGCGTGATCAGCCTGGATGTGCCAAAAGGAGCTGGGGGCAGACTGGCTACGGGCGCTGCAGGCCAGGGCGGGCTCCAGCACCGGCTGCTCCACGAGCAGCGCCTCCGGCTTCGCCAGGGCTTGCTGGATGATGATGGGGGCAGACGCGGACGTGGGGCTGGTGGCGGTGGCAGGGGCCACCTCCGGCATCGGCTCTTCCTTCACCTGCACTTCGGTGTAGTAGAAATCCTCCTCCCGTTTCCGCTGGTCAGAGTCTGCGCCGTCCCTGCCGGGGAGGAAAGGGGGACACCAGTGAAAAGGCGGTTGTGTTTCCATCGAGGCGAGCAGCCGCCAGACTTCCCTGGGGGAGAGCAATCTCACCCTCCTGGGCAGAGCAGCTCTACTCCTGGGCTCCAAAGCATCGCGTCGGCCTCAATCAGCAACAGCCACTGCCTCTGCAGCAGCGCTTTGCACTTCCAAGGAAGATCAATACCTCTTCCATGGCCTTTAAAAACACTGGCACGTTGATCGGGTGCCACTGAAAACCCCTCGCTCGTTTCTAACCGAGTTCATTTAGCACAGCTGCGATCCAAGCCCTGTGGCTCACGCAGCACGAAACAGCCCCCGGAGTCTTTTTTTATTATTATTTTCCCAGTGCATTTATCCGGCACTGGATGGCAGTCCAGCGCTGCCCACCACACCACAGCCCTTCTGTCCTCGAAGCGTTCACGTTTGCAAGGGAGAGAAAAAAAAACACATACTGGAAAACGTGGATACAAAAGCATGAGAAAACAGAGGCTGGGGTGGGAAGTGCAACGAGGCCACAGGAGGAGAGCAGAGCTAAGCTGATCCCCACACCCTCAGCACTTTGTATTTTGGGGGGGAATTCCCAGGAGATGAGGACAAAGCAAAGCAAGATGCTAAAGGGGTGGCCGCCGCCAGGCTGGCATATGGGGATTACAAATTATGCAGCAGCAGGGCACGTGGCCTTGGGGGTCAGGCGGGGTTTGAGGAGGGGAAATCTTTGCCTTACCCGAGGTGTTGGGTCTTGACGTGCCGCTTGATGCCAACGATGGAGCGCAGAACCTTGCCGCAGCTCGGCCACAGGCACTTGTACATCACCTTCACCGAGTTCTGGTGGAAAGATGGCTTGTGTCCCCCCCTGCCCAGTGGCAGCGTCCCCTCTGCAGGGCACTGGGTTAGCTTGAGCCACCCCACCAGCGTTAGCACAACTGCCTCCTCACAGCCC